ACGACCTTTGGCCCAATCAATCATGTCTGACGGCCTTTGGCCCAATCAATCGTGTCTGACGGCCTTTGACCCAATCGATCATGTTATAACGAATATTTGTCCACAATTCAAATTAACAAACTTATAAACGCAATTAGAAGTAAGCAATTAGACAAATAGCATACTTCAAAATATCTTTACTAAGATATTACTCACAGTGTTTTGCCGATGGATTCGTCCTTGTGCTCGACCCTACATAAATCATAACACATAATGGGTCACAAGTAATTCAATCTGTTTTAATTTATTCATTCCTCTTAGGCCTCTTTCTTATCTTCTTAATCCATTCACAATGCTCAATGCATGCATAAGAGTGTTTAGAAGTGAAAGAAAACAGAAAACAAGCCATACAATACTCTTATAAAATTTCTGAAACAGGACTTCCCGCTTGAGCGCATATTTCACCGCTCGAGGGGACCCCTTTGGTCTGCAAAAGTACTGGTTACCTCATTTTTGCACTCGAGCTTCACTTTGGACGCTCGAGCTAAGAGTCAAAATACGTGTACAAACGCTCGAGCGTAACTCTACCCGCTCGAGCAAACATCAATGTCTGCAGAAGTTCTGGGAGCTAACATTTTACGCTCGAGCGGCATTCTTCCCGCTCGAGCGGATATGCCAAATTCTAGAATTTCCAGAACTGTTCTGGAGGCTAAAGGTTCAAAACTCATGTTTTTTACACAAAAGCAGGAAAGGACATCATATAATATAAGAACATGAGTAATTTGGAACCAATTGACCAAAATCATGGTCCACCTCATAAATTATCTTGAATTCTTTTCATAATTTTCAAAACCCATGTACTTAACTTCATACAAATTCCATATCCTCATCTATCATGTAGGCATGTCAATTCTTGACTCCAATTCCCCTTTAAATGGCACAAATGATGTTTAAAACATGAAATCTATTAGGAATATGCATGAATGTATGATTTGATGTTCAATTCATCATATTCAACATGCCTCATGCTTGATTATGCAAAATCATGGCAATTCTATGTATGCATGTGCATATAGACTTCAATCTCATCACAATCAATTCAATCCATGCTCTTGATTACCATTTAATTTTGAATTCACAAAATTACAAACTTAAACTCATGAATCTATGCTCAATTACTCACCTAGGAGCTCAAATCTTCCAAATTATGGTTAATTCTTGAGTTAATCTTCAAAATTTCCAAGCTTCTTGATCAAAGCTTCAATTGCCTTCACTCTCTCTTTCTAACCGACCCTCTCTCTCTCTCTCTCTCTAGAGTGATCCCAGCCAAAGGAGAGGAAATGAGCTCAAAACATTGCTCATAAATACAAATAGGCCACTTATATATGTTGGCCTAATCAAATGTGATTTAGGCTAAGTAATTAAGCTTAATTTAATCGTTTTGAACCTAATTATTTCGTTCCGAATCAGTTTTCAATTAAATTTCACCATAGGCTCTAAAAATTACGCCAATTACGATGGCGTAGTCAATTTTGGTTTCTGTGGCTGATAAGGCCTTCAATTTTCAGTTTATAACAGTAAGTTGAACATATTTTCCTACGGTGAACAGATATAAAGCCAAAACCATATATAATCATATAAATGGCACCCAAAATCATATTAAACACACAATGACAATCATAATTAAGATTAATTAGCATAATACGGAATAGGGTTATCATAAAACAATTCATGAAAATAATCATTTTATAATAGAAAACAGGATAGTGGATACAAAACACTGGGAATAGGATAGTGGATACAAAACACTGAAAATCTCTAGGTACGTGTATGCTAGTAGGCTATACAAGCACTACCAAAGCCATTTTACCGGTACTAATCGGAAGGATCAGCACCTAATCGCGCAGGTTTCTAGACTTTCACCAAGGACACATAGGCCAACATAATACCACACTGCTAACTAGATTCACCAAGGTATTCACCTTTTTTTTTTTCAAAATTAAAACATTTACAATGTTCAATATGAAATGATGCTCAATGCACAATGTATGAGAAATTAGTTTCAATTCAATCTAATTCTCATGCAATGTCTACAACAATCAAGGCTATCCTCTACTGATAGTCCAAAACAGTTATTTCTATATATAGATAGCTTCCAATCAAAATATACAATTTCATCCTTTTACAATGGGAGTGATATTACATATCCAACTCCACCTTCATTATTAACATAATCCTTGTTCCAATCTCATGAAACCCAACATCATTTTCCATTTCCTTTCACAAATCCAAATATCCAAATTTAGAACAAAACCCAACTTCGATCTATTTGGAAATTAAATAAAAAAGAAAATTAAATGGAGATGGAAATTGAATAACAGTAGAAGTTGAATAAAAATAGAAATAGAAACTGCATAAAATTAAACATGGAAGTTCATTAAAGAAACCACTATACCATAACGATCTATTTGGAAATTAAATAAAAAAAGGAAATTGAATAGAAAAGAAAATTGAATAAAAATCGAAGTTGAATAAAAATTGTAACGCCCTCAAAATAATACATAAAACCCATCACTTTAGACATACATTGATATAAAAGAAACTAACCATTTCTATTCATCAGAGTAGTTCTTACTGCTATATTACATGTTAACGACAAAAGCAAGTGCCCTATGGGCTTATAGCTTTCCAAGTCAACACTTGGTTACACAAAAGAAGAGTACTAACTTTATACAAAAGAAGCCCTTGGCTTGATGTACATGTAATATAAACAAAAGAAACAAAGGAGCCTTCAACTCCCACATCCATCCAAGCTACGTCCTTGGAGGTGGCATGCTACATGTACCTGAAAATAATGTCCCATATAGGGTGAGCCAACGCCCAGTAGTGATATGCTAAACACAATATGAGCAGTAACTAAGACATTAGCAATTGATAAATGTTCTAATTCCATACATCAATTCATAACCAATTTCCATTACATGACCACTATGTCCATGTTTCATTTCATTTTCCATTTCTTGTCAATCCCGCAATTTACATTAATGGCTCAGAGCCTAGTCATTCACTTATATGAGACCGTGACTCATATTAAACATTTCCCATTCTACAATAGATAAACATATTAGTTGTATCAACATCTCAACAGATAAGCATACAAGCTATATCCACATTTCAACCGATAAGCATACAAGCTGTATCAACACTTCCATAGATAAGCATATGAGCTGTATCATCACATAATCTGACAAGCATACGAGCTGTATCAGTGGAGTCCATCCCCTATCTCCTCCCAAACAACATTCGGTTTAGAGGTCCATCCCCTATCTTCCCCTAAACCGTGGAGTACATCCCCTACCTCATCCCACACACATACACAAAGTATATACACATTGGTCATATACACAATCAATCAATGCATAACGTTAATGTATTCTATCAACTGTCATACTCTATGACATATCCAATTGATTAGTTTCAATTTGCCTAATCATCATGCATTGTCTACAACAATCAAAACTACCCTTCACCGGTAGCCCAAGCAATTATTTCTAAACAGATAATAAAAGCTCCAACAGATAGAATATCAATGTTTTCAAAAGTGAGCGATTAACAAATCCAACTCCACTATTTTACCATATAATGAGCCAATTTCATTATTCTCAACACAATTCCATAAGTCCACAAATTTCCCAAATTAATTATACCAATTAATTTACACCACAAATTAGGGTTTTCTACCCCATTTCCCAACATTGGCCCAATGGCCTATATATCAACAACCCACATCAATATCCTTATTTTGAAACCCAAAATACACATTTTAGAATCAAAATAATAAATTCCCCTTTTTACATTTTGAAACCCTAGATCCCATAATCAAACCCAACGTTAACATTTTATCAAAACAACCAAAAATCTATGTCAAAGATCATAAGAGTGAGTAGGAATCCCTACCTCAAAAGTTGACACCCAACGAAGAAGAAGATGAAAATGAAAATGCTCCAAATCGCAAGTTTCCCGGATCAAAAGATAGCCATCGACGATCAATAACTCTTTTGTAAAGGCCAAAGGTGAGGAAACAACTCTAACTAGATCAATACCTAGAAAAAAGGTAAGGTTCTAGAGAGAGAGGCTCAACAATGGAGTATTTGGGAAAGTAAGAGAGGGAAAAGATGTGAAAAAGTGATTTTTAAAGTCAAGACACGGAGCTTTAAACCCGACGCCCCGCTCGAGCGTGGAAACCCCCGCTCGAGCGTCACTCACAGACTCCCGCTCGAGCGTCCAAACCGCCGCTCGAGCGCTGAATACACACTCCCAGCACTTTTGCAGAACCAGGTCCCTGCTCGAGCGTCCAACTCCCCGCTCGAGTGTAACACACAAACTCCCGCTCGAGCGGACAACCCTGCAGAGAAAATACTGGAAGGGTGATTTTCCCGCTCGAGTGGAAAGGCCAAAATCTGGGCAACTACACTTGATTCCTAAGCTCAACCAACCTGTTTCAAATCTGCCCAACACAACCCAAGACTCAAATACAAAGAGTAAAGGATGTAAACGAGATGTACACAACAACTAATGAAAAGGGAAACCGGGATCGCTATATGATGTATAAGACAAACTTCCTTTTAAATTCAGTTCCAGTATCTTTTGTTTCAAGCAGATAAGATTTTAGAGATGTGAACGGAACAAATTTATTCTTCACCGCAAGTTCATCACATAGATTTGTAATTTCATCCACGGACTCTGTTAACTTCACAGGTAGACCATTGGAAGGTAATCCTATCAACTCATGAACATCTTCTATGGTGAGAAGCATTCGAAGACCGTGGACATTCAATGAATGAGTTGAAGGATCAAAGTTCTGAACTAACCAATGACACAAATCATGATCTATGTGCGTGCACCTAGGGCTTAGGATGCCATGAAACCCCATATCAGTCACTGCTTGTTGTTGTGCTTTGTCTAACCTTCTAATAATCTTACAAATTGATGTAAGCTCAATCCGGGTTTGAATTTTTATTTTTGGAGGCTTTTGTTGGACCACAGTTTTTAATTGGGCATATTGTTCAGATTGCAGCTTTCCCATTTGTATATACTTATTTTTTTCTTCTTCAGGAAGTTGATTCCATTTGTCCCCAATATCCTACATTACATGCATAAAATCATATGAACAATTACATACAAGCTTACAAGTACAAAAGGAATACTACAAACAACAAGAATACGTTGCACTTACCTTCACGTCTACTTTCATTTGGGTTTTTTTTTAACTCCATTGATTGTTCTTGGCTATAAACATATGAAAATGAATATAAGAATTCGTATAATGGAAAATATATAACTACATACAAATAGATATTAACGAAATACCAAAAGAAAATGAATGGAGTGATCGGGCGCTTTGGAGGATCAGTCGGCTTATCCATTAGGCTTCAATCAGAATTCCTTGTAAAGAAAGACAAGAAAAATAAACTCATAATATCTTTGATTAGGAAAAAAAACAAACAAACAAAAATCTTAAAGGTTATAGTACATTCATCAAATGCACGACATGCACACATGAATGGATTTGTTTTATAATAATGTAGTTAACAAAGACTATGTTTCCAATGTAAAAAGGAAAGACACTAAAAAAAATTCTAATCATAAACAAAAAATGATACCCCAGTAGCTTAGGTCACATTACCATAAAAAATAGATTAAAGAAGTTAATTTTTTTGGACAAAATTTGTAATTTGGTAAGGAAATTTTTTTGTCGCAAAAAGGAGCCAAATATTTTGGCACCATACGAATTGATAATAAAAACGACATTGTTTTTTATTTTATTTTTGGGACTATTGTAGAAAAAAAATAAAAAACGATGTCATGGTTATGTATAGCTCCTTTGCTCCTTCAAGTCTCACTTTAGGTATACAGTCAGAAGGTTGAATATCTTTATTAACTGGTTTTACTTGCTTTGGTTTTAGCTATGTTGTGGTTCACTTTCCCATATTTTATCTTGCTATTTTTTTTTTTTTATTCTCTGCATGGGTTTGGGGATGGCTTGAACCACATAAAGCACTTGAAAATTATAAATGTTTAGGGAAGCAATTTGTTTTTTAGAATACAAAATACAAGAAATTAGAAAATGGGAGAATGATTTGATACAGTTGTATTTAGTAATATACATACACTAACTAAAGATTTGATGCACTAAGGACCCTTGCATACTGCTATACCCACTGCCACTTACAATTGAATCTTGGGTTGTGAATAGAGCTTCTCTTGTATTAATGCTATGCTTATTATTTGATTTTATTATTTACATTTATTCTATTATTGATACTTTAGATTCATAATAAATAATACTAATATATGAGCACTACTACAAAAGGTTAAAGGTCACAATTTTTAACTTTGACCTTATACTTTTAGTCTTAGTTTTTTTTTAATACAAAAACTGTGATGAATGAGAGTGTGACTATACAAGTTATATCATAAATATTTTTCTTTTTAATTTGGCCATCACGCATATCATATAATTTAAATATATTGATGCATAGAGGACCTTGTAGGAAAAAACATGTACCTGTCCAAGAAGTAGTTCAGCAACAACACAACCAGCAAACCAGAAGTCAATAGCTGTAGTGCACTCCGTCGATCGAAATATAAGCACAGATGTAAGAGGTGTTGGGCTCTCCTTTTACCTGCCAAAAATAAGGAATGAAGCATTTCAATCAAAACACAAAACTAAGGGAGAGGGGAAAAAATTAAAAGACATAAACCAACATGTCAAAACTTTAAAAATTCCAAAATGAAGTTGTTATTTGTAAAAGAGTTAATGAGGTGGTGGGAAAATAGCATATATGAAAGGGCATCATTAGTGATGGAAAAATGTAAAATAATTACAATTACACATGAGGGTTTATAGAACTCTAATAAGTATATAGCATATTAATTAGGATACATGTTAGAGTGTAAATCCTTTGGAAATTAGGCAAAATGTTATAATTTGCATATGGTACACATCTCAAAAGGGGTGTAGTAGTATGACCATACATACCACACATAAACCCATATAAACTCTAGTTTGGAATGAATCAATAAATCAAAGACCCCAAAAACAGAAGAACAATAATTTTTTAAAGGCATTTTTCTGTTTCATGTATCTTCATGCTCTTGTAGAAAAAGCAATAAACAACAAAGAAGGGGGGGAAGAAAAGAAAAAAAAAATAAGAAGTAAATTAATAATTTAGTGTCTTTGAAGTTTGAGGGTTTTGAATGAAAATAGGTTTTTCTCGAATCAAGTAATTTTGATTTTTTTTTATTATTTAATGGAAAATCTAGATGTGTGTATTTGCTAGTTTGATATGCGGTCAGATGTGTTATTTGACATGAATGTTGGAGGTAATCCTATCCTCTTTTTTTTGTTTATCATTGTTACTTACCTTCTATTGAAGCACAAAAAAAAAAAGAAGAAAAAAAAAAAGAAGAAGAAGCCAAGGAGGGTTGCTAATCCTGCTAGGAAGAGTGGGAGTAACTAAGTTGGAAGTGGGAGGGGTTTGTTGAAGGTCATTATCTTTTGTTGTGCTTTTTGTTGCTCTTTCATCCGTTATGGTCACCTTAGAGGATTAAGCTATCTCTCTCTCTCTCTCTCTCTCTCTCTCTCTCTACTTGGGTGATAAAAATAAATAAATTAGACCATGTAATGCCAAAGGGATGGCAATGAGGGGAAGTAATGAAGGCGGCGGTGGTGGAGGTGGCAATGATGGGTTGACTAGGGATTTCTTACGTCTTAGAACAATCTCTCATAGGGGGTTTCCAAACATGGCTGGGCTTGATCATATGATAGTAGTTATGACTAATATGGTATTGGTTATAATATAAAATCATATAAGTTCATAACTAAATGTATGGTACATCTAAATGTACCATAGCATCACCCGTGATGAGAAACCTCCATTTAATGATTGTTATCGATAAAAAATTGCAACGTCTAGTGAAATTGAAAGTTTAACCCCTGAAAAAACAGTAATCACTATTATCCACCTGTAATTCATTAATTGCAGAGTCTAGAAAGAGGAGCGCGTAAACCGATAAGATTCTCTGTGCTGTAAATTCTCTTTCTCGCATCGCAGTAGCTTTTTTTTGGGTTTCACTTTTTGGTGCCTCTGTTTTTTTACTGGGTTTGGAGCCAATTCTTGTCGGTTGGCTCTTCTCTTCTCTTTTGGTTAATAAAAAGCGGTGAAACCCAACTGTTATAGACATAGAGAGAGAAAGAGAGAGAGAGAGAGAGAGATAGAGAGAGAGGAGCTTACTTGACTTGATTAAATTGCTTCTCTAGCTCTGTTCGTACTTGAGTTTTAAAGTATGTATTATATTTAAAATCATGCTGCCAGTGTAAAATTTCAACTAGTAAACAATAGATAAGGGTCCAACTGGATGGCCTAACCAAAGGTGCGAATGAAAGTTGCTGGTACCATAAGTGAAGTAAGCAGTGCCTTTCCGGCAGAAAGTGATCATAGCATGGTCCAAACAAGATGAAAGTAATAGTTTTCTGACAGAAGAGAGTACTTGAGGAGGTAAGGAGCAAAGGAATCTGAATCCTATGTCCCACTCCCTCTCTGTTACATTGTTTAGATTTATCTCAAATCTGTTGGAGATTTCCTAAAAGCTTCAAAACTTTAATTATTTTTATTTATTATTATATTTTATTATTTATTTGTTTCCTTTTATAGCCTTATTTATTTGAATTTTAAATTTGGTTTTGGTTTTGGTTTTGGTTTTGGTTTTATATCAAAAGGTGTGTCTGTTCCAAACAGATACCAAAGAGCCTATTTAAATAGGACTCTAATTGAGAAAAGAGATACAACGTACTCTGATCTCTCTCTCTCTCTCCTTCTTCTTGTAACGCCCTCAAAAATAATAACATTAAACCCCTCAATAGAGACATGCATAGATACATAAAGATCCACATTCATCTATCCATCAGAGTATTTTATTACAAAAGTATTACATGTTTACAACAAAACAAATGCCCTATGGGCTTACAGCTTTGCAAGTTAACACTTGGTTACAAAAGAGAATGCTAACTCAATTACACCTTACGCCCTTGGCTTGAAACTATATATAATACAAAAAAAAAGACAACCAAAATATGTCCGCCTCTAGCCTCCCAAGCTATGTCCTTAGAGATGGCAAGCTACCTGTACCTGAAAATGATGTCCCCATATAGGGTGAGCCACAGCCCAGTAGAAAATATACTAAACCAACTATGAACAATGACTAAGAGATTAGCAACTGGTAGATGGTCAACACTTACACTTCCATTTACATCTTAATAAAATTCCAGGACAGTCAAGTTTATGTTACAATTCACTTTCCAGTTCTTATTCAACTTTGAATTAGAAAACAAGGTTCAGTATTCTGGCCAAAACATTTGATGAAATTATAGTTCATCACTAGAACATTTTCGGAATTCAAGGTGAATACACATTTTGGTGTTGTATCAATAACACATAAACTACTTCCATATTTCACAAACGATGATGACATACGTTTTAGTGTTATATCAAATCAAACAAATCTTTCAATAGATAAGCATATGAGCTATATCACCACTACAACAGATAAGCATATGAGCTATATCAATACTTCAACAGGCAAGCATATGAGCTATATCAACATTCCAATAGATAAGCATATGAGCTATATCAACACTTCAACGGGTGAGCATATGAGCTGCATCCCAGGGTCCATCCCCCATCTTCCCTTAACCATTGACCAGTTTAGAGGTACATCCCCCATCTTCCCCTAAACCGCGGAGTACATCCCCCATCTCCTCCTCTACACAATGCATATAAACACAAAGGTTCTATACACAATATAACGCATGTAAACACAGAATCACATACGCAATCAATCAATACATAAAGTTAATGTATTCTACCAACCGTCTACACAATGCATATAAACACATTGGTCATATACACAATCACTCAATATATAAAGTTAATGTATTCTATCAACCGTCATACTCTATGACACATCCGATTGATTAGTTTTAGTTTGCCTAATCATAATGCATTGTCTACAACAATCCACACTACCCTCCACCGGTAGCCCCAAGCAATTATTTCTAAGCAGGAAATAAATGCACAAATGGATAATATATCAACATTTCAACTAGATGAGCGATAAAAGATTCGACTACACTCTTTAGTCCCATACATTCCCAATTTCAACATTCTCAATTCAATTTCTCATTTTCTTCAATTAATTATATGCATTAATTAATTAATCCAATTAGGGCAAATTACCATGATTCACAAAACAACCCTAAGGTTCCATTTCCATCAATGTCCCAACGTTAATCTCATTTCTCTATGCCTAACATGCATATAGGTTTATATATTCCCAGCAACCCAACTTTGGTAAAATTACACAAAGGCCCAAACCTTCTCAAAATTACCCAACAACACCCAAACATATCAAAATGCTAAAATTCAAAGACAAAGCTCATAAAGAGGAGTAGGATATCCCTACCTCGAAGTTTGAGCCAAAAAGGAGATGAAGACTCGAAGATCAACGTGCTCCAAACCCAAACTTTTTCAGATTATGTCGAAGCTCTCAACGCCCTCTATCTTTTTAACAAAGGCCCTAGGTTAGATTTACACTCTAGGGAGATCAATTCTTAGAGAGATAAGCATAGATACATGGAACTACTGGGAGCGTGCAATCTCCGCTCGAGCGCAAGAAGACTCGCTCGAGCGGACCTCCTAAAAACTGGGCAACAAGGAATTGAAACCAAAGTCTAACCAACCTGTAATAACTCTGCCCAATACATCCTAAAACTCAATCAAGCGGAATTAAAGGATGACAACAAGGTATACAACCACCAACATCACGGAACCAAAGTCCGGAAAACAATAGTTACAGAAAGGGAAAACCGGGATCGCTATAACCTCCCCCCCTTAAAGAATTTCGTCCCCGAAATTAAGGGTACGCCAAAACACAAGGCCAACTGATAACAGAGCATTCAACAATCGAGCCCCAAGGAAAGAAATTACTTTCACAACAAACCTCCGACTCACTCTTACCAAGGAAGATACTAACCAAGGGAACACATTCTAAATGACCATACCTTAGGTACGCAAGCCTCAACAAACCAAACCTCCCCCGAAACAATTCACCAATAACCGACTAGTGCTTCAAGCTAAGTCACTACTCAACAACACGACCAAAGCAAATCTTTAGAGTAGATAATAAGAAAACATTTTCTTGTTCAAGAGGCATTCCTCAAAGATGTTTAAATTTTCAACGTTAATGTTCCGGAATAAATCTTGCATTTTCCATACGAAAACTCAAAAGCTTTGTAAACATTTTTCGCAAATACGGTGTTACCCAAAACGCGGAGTCACCCACAGTTTATTTTCCAAAAAGATTAATCTAGAATTCTTTAAAATCCTTGAATTAAATCAACTTTTCAACAACGCATTTAGATGGTTCCAAACACTAGGAAAATTTTGTTTTTCATTTCTTTCCAAAATAACACTATCAACAACCATCACTCGCATGGTGATGCCACACCCAACACGGAACACAACATTTCTATAATGATAGTTAATAGAAATAACAACAGTACTATCAACACATAAGGTATAAGAAATTCATGGTTTTGCAATTTTATCCCGCCTCCCTTTACAAAAAAAGTCATAAATATGGC